GATTTTGATTGCAAAGTTATTCTTATAAAATATTTCTTTGAAGCAAGTTGTGTAAAATAAGTTATCGTTATTAAATAAATACTATTGTTGTATTATCCAAGAGGTTATGCCTGAACGCGATGGAAGGTAAAAACAAAAGTTTGGTGATGTTCGAGTGATTGAGCAACTCAAATTATCGAGTTTGGGCATTCCGAATGAAAATGATATTGATAAAAGAAAATTTGTGGGAAATGATTGATCCCGGATCGAAGAAGGAGGAAGACGAGACAAGAGGATTAGGGCATTTTTAATATCGCTGTCGTGGTTGAAACTGATCAACTCGTTCATATTGCTGATTCAAAAGATGGAAAAGATGCTTGGTAATGACAAGAAGCCAAATTTTTCAAACTTAAAAGAATTCGGTGTTGCTGCTTATGTAATGATTCCTCATCAGAAGCGAAAGAAGTTAGACCCGAAGGCTGAAAAACTAGCATTCGTGGGATATGACGGATGGTCGAAAGCATATCGACTTGCAAATGTAAAACAACAGAAGATAGTTGTGTCACGTGATGTTGTGTTTCAAAAAGAAAAGTTCATGAAGATTAGTCAGAATTCATCTCATGAAATGAAGAGAAGTAGCAGTGATTTGGTGCGTTCCTGTTTTCGTCTGGTTCTACAATTGATGTTCAAACATTCAATGATTCTGAACTGTTTTATGATGCTGAAGACTCTCAAGATGAAAATGAGGTAGAAGAGCATGAAGAAGAGACAGATCAAGAACATATTGAACATGGAGATATTGAGAATGACCAAAGTCAGGAATTCGTCGTTGATTATAATTTAATGAATGATCAGAACGTTCCGGTTCAGGAGGTGAATGGAAGAAGTGATGAAATCAGAGTGTCAAGTAGAAGAAATAAAGGAAAAAAACCAGAACGTCTTGGTGATTTTGTTACTTATTCATCAAGAGTTGATTTTGAGCCCAAGACACTCAAACAGGCTATGAGTTGTGTTGATGCTGAGTAGTGGAAAAAAGCTCTGGAAGACGAGATTAAGTCAATTAATCAAAATAAAACCTGGAATGTTGTAAAATTGCCTAAAAGTAAACGTTCGATTGGCTGTAAATGGGTTTACAAGCTTAAGCGAGATGAGAATGGCGAGGTGTGTTCATATAAAGCAAAATTAGTTGCTCAAGGTTTTTCCCAGAAATATGGAGAAGATTATGATGAGCTTTTTTCTCCAGTAGCACGATCAGCAACATTTAGGATTCTCATGTCGATAGCTGGAGTAAATAATTATCATGTAAAACAATTTGATATTAAGACTGCATTCTTGAATGGTGATATCGACGAGGAGATATATATGAACCAACCACCTGGATTTGAGAAGGGAAATTATGCTTGCAAGTTAAGAAAAAGCCTTTATGGTTTGAAGCAAGCAGCAAGAGCATGGAATAAAGTTTATCATGAAACAGTGATAAAATTTGGGTTTACTCAAAGTGAAGTTGATAAATGCTTGTATAGCATGAAGAAAGGAAGTGATACTTGTTATATGATTGTTCATGTTGATGACATATTGGTTGCATCAAATAATGAAAAATTAATAGAACAATTTAAGAATCACATTGGAAGTTTTTTCGAAGTAAAGGTTATGGGAAATGTTAAGCACTTTCTAGGAATTAATGTAAAACGTGATAAAGATGAAAATTTTCATATAAATCAGAAACAATACATAGAAAAGATTGTGGAAGAAGCTGGACTGAATGATGGAAAATTTTCAAAATATCCTTTGATGACTGGTTATTTCAGACATCATGATGAAAACTATTTAGAATCAAATAATGAGTATAGAAAGCTCATTGGGAAACTGTTGTATATTAGCACGAACACAAGATCGGATATAGCAGCATCTGTTGGAATATTGAGCCAAAAGATTTCAAAACCAACAAAGAACGATTTGATAGAAGCGAAGAGAATTATTTGCTATCTAAATGGAAGCAAGCATTTAAGTTTGAAGTTGAGTGACAAGAAGAAAGTTGGGAAATTGGAAGTTTATTCTAATGCAAGCTGGGCCTAAGGTTCGTTTGACAGAAAATCTATCAGTGGTTTTCTTGTGAAATTAATGGAGGTTTTGTTTCATGGTGCAGCAGAAAACAAGACGTAGTATCGTTATCATCTATGGAAGCTGAATAATTGCACTCTCAGAAAGTTGCAAAGAGCTAAAATGGGTTAAAATGTTGACCGATTCTTTTTCTGAGTTTGTCGTTCCAGATTAAATTATTCTGTATACAGACAGCCAAAGTAGTATGAAATTGATATCCAATCAAACATTTAGCAACAGAAGCAATTACATCGATACTAAATACCATTATGTGAAACAATTGGTTGATTTAGGAGAGGTTGAACTGAAGTATTGGAGCACTGACGTAAATATAGCTGATATGATGATCAAGCCGTTAGGAAATATTAAACTGAAGAAATTTACTGACGATTGTGGACTGCGTTAGTAATATTAACATAATATATCCGAAGTTAATATTAAGGAGGAGTGTTGAATTATCGAATGATCTTTAGATCAAAGCAATCTAATTTTGATTGCAAAGTTATTTTTATAAAATATTTCTTTGAAGCAAGTTGTGTAAAATAAGTTATCGCTATTAAATAAATACTATTGTTGTATTATCCAAGTTTTTTCGAGGACACTTCATTCTCATATGATAGAGACCAAAGCTTTGTAAGGGTGTGAAGCTTCGCTAAGATCGAGGGTGTGGAACTACGTTAAGATTGAGGATGTGAAGCTATGTTATTATCGAGAGTATGAAGATATGTTAAGATCGAGGGTGTAAAGCTACCCCAAGATCGAGGGTGTAAAGCTACATTAAGATAGAGGGTGTGAAACTACGTTAAGATCGAGGGTGTTGAGCTACGTTAAGATCGAGGATGTGAAGCTATGTTGAGCGGATAAATGGTTACTTTTTGAATAGATATTTAAGAGTATAAAAGTCGAATAAAACTATTTATTATATTAAAGTAAATTTTAACTGTATTAAGGCTCTACAAGCTTCTGTCAAAATTACCAAAAATTTAAACATCTGTTCACTTGATACCGCTCTCAATACTTAATTATATCATGTCAAAATCATTCACCCCATTTGCATGCCTAAAATAATTTGACATTTACGCTATCTATACCGAGTAAACATAAAATCGGTAGCAAAAATCAACTTTGTGACCCGTGATATGGTTATATGTGCGTATATCTATTTATGAATAACAAAACAAACAAAGGTCAGTAAATGAAATTTAAATAACAATGATGAATATTTGTCGATGTTTTTGTGGGGATATGCCTGTAAACGTTTTGTGGTTCTCACTCGTCTATAAAACAATTTTCCCCATCAAAAAAGCTCTCCTAGGAATTGAATTGATTGAAAATTTATGCTAATGACTGCTAATATATGATAGATACATAAATGTGCACACATCAAAATGTGTGTGTGTGTGTGTGTGTTTGTTTGTGCATGCCCCTTCGATATTCTACTGCTGTTGCTTGATATTCTCTTTTTTATGCAAAATGTAAACGAATCACAATCATAACCATTATGCTAATATTCCTTCTAATGTGTGTTTGTTGTGAATTTTCTATTGAAGGGCTTCTCTCTCCTTTTTGAGATATATTCTGATAAATTCAATTGTATAGACATTTGTACGATGCCTTGAAACTCATTAGCATTAATACGTGATATGTTATTTTGCCACATCTATGTGTATATTGCATTTACATGAGATTTTTTTGTTGTTGTTATTTTGTCTCAAAACATGTTCATAAGGAGAATTTGAATTTGTGATTATTCTTCTTCTTTCTCAGTTCCTTGATGCAGATATATATGCTGCTTTTCTTTAATCAACAGAATGGTTAATATTTGTGTCATGGAAATGAAAAGTTAACTCTTTGGTAGGCTAGGCAAGCGACAGCAGCTTTGCAGAAGTAGAATTCAAAAAGAAATGTTTAAGAACTTTTTGACACCACTGCAGTGAACTTGAATTTGTATGGGTTTAGTGGAAATTACTGCAGTGCTGAGTTTGGTTGTGATGACATTGGAGGAAAACATGCTATTAAAAAAATTATTTTGATTCAAGGAATTCGCAAGGATTCAGATCAGCTAAGAGCAAGACTGCAAATGGCTTGAGATATGCTGGATATGTGTTCAGACGCTCACAAGACACCTCAGTAATTAGAGTGATAGTTGAAGATAGCAAAAAAAGAAGCAAAAAGACTCGCTTGACAAAGTACAGGTCACAGGAAGTTAGAATAGGGTCTTGAAAAATGTGGTAAGATTAAGAGATACAGATTAAAATTGTAAGTTGGATAAGAATCAAATCCAGGACCCTTTCAGTGAATCAGAGTGGAATCTGAGTTATCAAGCCATATAAAGGTGAACTTTCCAGTGCGATAGTAAGGCCTATGTGGCGCGAGTGGTTAGGCAACAGATCCGATATATGTAATCCTCTTTTTTGAGGACGTTGGTTCGATTCCCAACAGAAACCGATCTCTCAATCAATATATAGAGTGTTATCGATATGTTAAGGATTCGTACAGCTCGCAATATTACCTATCTATACCCATTGAGAAACCTTTTAAAGTAAACTAATCAGGATAAAGATATTACCAATAACATCCCCAATGAGACTAAATATGATATCATTTCCGAAGTAAATCGCAGTAAATCGTGAAGATTATTAAAAGCAATCCTCAAAGCTATAAAACAGAAATATAAAACCGCAGTAAATTTTCTTTCATTTCCCATGAAAATAAACGTGCGATGCAATAATGAAAGTAGTGCAAGTAGTCTCTCGAGAATCAAAATAATGATCTAATTGTAAACTTGTTTATATTTCAACAGAGTAAATGAAACAACAATTGAAATGCTTTTTGTATTCACTATTCTCTCAATTTTCTTGTTTTTATTTTTAAAAACCTAAATGAAATTGAAAAAGAAAAGAAAAAGTTGAAAAACTCACCGAAACTAGTGACATATAAATTTAAGTATAGACAGTCCTCACTTTCACTTTTAAGGAATGGCATGATTTTCTTGATTTGATCGTATCTGCCTTTATTATATCCACCCGAGTCCGCAAGATTCGGAAGCTTTTGTGGACAGACATTTTCAAGCTTATTGGCATATTTGATACCTTGCCAAGGTAGAGGCGATGATGGAGGCATAAATCTCCCAGAGCCAACTGGCGCTTCAGCATACGGAATGCCAAGAAATTGATCAACATTTTTAAGGCGTGATTGTGTAGTCATTTCACGTACAATACCCACAAGTCGTCCTTGCTTAACTTGAACTTCACGTGTATAACGGAATGGCATTCCACTATGAATTTCCGATTGCTTTCGGTTTGGTCGATAACTAGAATATGATGATTCAAGTACATTCTCATTATCAAGATTCCCATCATTATTGCGAGCCAACAGATCACGAAAATAATTTCGATTTGATGAACTCTGATATCCACTGCCATGCGATGAGGCAGATGACGGCGGAAGAAACGACGAGGAACTTCTTTTTTGAAATAATTTTGCATCTGTTGCACGTTCATCACCGGCATCAGCTAATAATACATCATTTTGCGTGTGCGACAATAGCATCGAGAGAATTAAATGTGGAAATGAAATATTTTCATTTGAAGTGTGTGACGTGTATGAGTCATGCGATGCTGCCGCCGGTATTGAATCATTGTGAAATTTTTCTGTGCAAATAATGTTGGAATTTGAAATAATGAAAAATATAACGATAATGGCGACGTTGGATAGGAAAAATTTCATTATTATTATTATGATTTAATTGAAATTATTGACGTGCTTGAATGAATGCCGGGGCAGAAGAGTGCGATGGAAATAGAGAGAATTATTTTCTCGCTTCGTGAATTTTTATGTATTTTTTTTTATTTTTTTTTCTGGCTTCACTTATTGAAAATCGAAAGAATTTTTTTTTAATAATAAATTTTTTTTTCACATTTGTTTCTGCTGCAATTCATTAAAAAATATATCTGTGATGCTAAAATTCAATACACTCGACTTTTTCACATGCTTGCAATGATCTTCTTTTTTTTTCATTCTCACAGCATTTTTTTCCTTTTGATATTGAAATTTTTATTCCAACGTGATGATAAAGAATGTATGTCATGTGTGATATGACTCGAGGATTTATCTTCACATTCGTTGCACGTTTATGACGTTTAATTCACTCATCCTTTTCCTTACACATCTGCATATTTTTCACATTTAATGAGGATTTTTTTACACTTTTTTTTACAAATTTATTCTCATCCACCGCTGTACACACACACTCACTCTCTTTCTATGGATGATGAATAGCAAAATATTTTTCAATCCAGTCAACTTTTTTTTTCTGTTTTGTGCTGAATAATGAAATAGAAAACTTTCTGATATCAACACGTTGTGCTATCATAAGCACTGAGTCAGTCAATATTTGATTGGTGCAAGCATACCAAAAAGTTAAAGGCAAAAAGTATTCTATGCTCTCCTTTGATGTGTCACTAAAAGCAAAAAAAAAAAACGCAAATGTTGATATTGATGATGATGAATACGATGATGATTGTGATTTGTGAACACAGGGAATTTTTTTTGTGTTCAGTTTTGGTTGATTTTGAGCGCACTTTCTTGAAAATAATGATTTTTTTTTAATTTTTTCTCATTCTAAGTTGTTTAATCTGGTTTTATTTGAAGAATATCGTCAGATGTTTATTTCGCTAGGCTAAAGTTGTAAGGTCTAGTTAGAAATCAGTTGGTCTATTTAAAAATTCAACAGTTCAATTCAAAATCAATTATTCAAGTTCAAAAGTTGTTGTTTCAGTTCAAAACCTATTTATCCGTATCAAAATCTAAAATTCAAGTTCCAAAACTGTTGATTTAGTTCAAAACACATTGATCCTGTTCAAAATCAATTATTCAAGTTCAAAATCTATTTATTCAGTTAAAAACATATTGATCCGGTTCAAAATCAATTTTTCAAGTTCAAAATCCATTGAATTGGTTCAAAACATATTAATCCGGTTCAAAATCAATTTTTCAAGTTCAAAATCCATTGAATTGGTTCAAAACGTATTGATCCGGTTCAAAACGTATTGATCCAGTTCAAAATCAATTATTCAAGTTCAAAATCTGTTAATTTAGTTCAAAACATATCAATTCGGTTCAAAATCAATTATTCAAGATCAAAATCTGTTGATTCAGTTCAAAACCTTTTGATCTGGTTCAAAATCTATAATTCAAGTTCAAAATCTGTTGATTCAGATCAAAATTAATCAATCTAGTTCAAAATCTGTTGATTCAGTTAAAAACATATTGATCCGGTTGAAAATCAATTTTTCAAGTTCAAAATCCATTGAATTGGTTCAAAACGTATTAATTCGGTTCAAAATCAATTATTCAAGATCAAAATCTTTTGTTTCAGTTCAAATCCTATTGATCCGGTTCAAAATCAATTATTCAAGTTCAAAATGTCTCAATTCAAAACCTAATAAAAAAGTTCAAAAGCTATTAAACTAGTTTAAAACTTATTAAACTAGTTCAAAACCTAATGAACCATTTCAAAATGATTCTAGTCGATGAAAAACTTAGTAAATCTATGTGTAGGTTTCAAAACCACTATAAACAAATATCAAAAGACTCTATAAAACTAAACAACGATCACTATCATCAAAATAATTCACAAAAATGCGCTCAAATAGAGGATCAACATAAAAGATCACATCATGATGTTATTAACAAATTTTTTTTCTCACTAAACTGCTGTATGTGTTGTTTTCTCTTCTTCACAAGATAAATAGCATCACTACAAAATATTATGGCACCACAATGAGACGGAGGTAGCTTATTAGTGATGAGAGAGAGCAAAATATATTTCAGGTGACTGAACCACAAACAGATCACTCTTTCGCGCTGTATTCTCTTCTGTGTTTTTTCTTTATTTTTATTTTATTTATTTTCGTTGTATTTATTTTTCTCGTGAAAATTCTTTTAGCTTCTTTTTGCGGAAGAAAAGAAAATATTACGTATAATTTTTCAAGGAACACGAGAGGCACAAAGTAAAGACAAAAAAGTTCACAAGAAACGTTATAAATTTGACTCTTTTTCACTTTTTCTTTCTCTTCCTTAATTTCATTATTTTCCTGCCTCCTCCATCTAATATGGAAATTTTTTTTATGCTAAATTCGCGCGCTCATTTGCAGCAATTGCAAATATACAGTACAAGTAAACGGAAGAAATAATTTATGGAATCTTCCTGTTAAAACTTTTTATCCGGACACGATAAAAAAAAATATAATTCTATGGCCCTTTTTTTCTCATACACACAAATTTCGCGGTCTGTCTTAGCAGCGATCTCGTTTGTTTCGTTATTCCGGTTGAACTGAATGTGAAATTTTCAAATTTTTTTTCTTTCTTTATTTTTAAAAATAAAAATGCCGAGAGATGAAATGTTTTACATTTGTGTGGGTGCGGGGGAATACTTTTTTTTATTTATTTATTTTTATACATAAAAAAGATACGCGGGATGTATCGCGGCATCGGATTTATTTTACATTTTTGTATGGTGACATAATGCAACAGATGTCCCATTTACAGTCCATCTCTGAACCTTTTTCTCGTTTTGCTCATTTTCTTCCCTTTTCATTGCCTTTTTTTTGTGTACTTTTTTATTTAAAAAGAGATCTTTTTATGTGGATACCTACTACATTTTGAGATTAAAAATTTAAATTTCTTGCTTTTCTCACATTCACACTGCGTAACTTATCCCTGAATTAATTTAGACACAGGCTGACTTTTGTTTGTGTTTGAATGCTGAAAAGTTGTTATTGCTGGTGACTTGAGACTGTTTTAATGTAATGGAATAAGAAGTTTTGGGGTGTCAAATCAATTAAGCATTTTATTTGTTTTTGGAAGTGGTAATTGGGCAATTCCACGGATGAGTGGAATTCAAGAAAAATGAATTGCAATTCTTCTTCTACTTGAAAATTTAAATTTTATAAATACGTTAAATTTTTTTAATAAAAATTTCATCTTTCTTTAAAATTTAATCACAATTCGTCGTTATTTACTTATTTTAACAAATTTTGTTGTTTATACAATATTAACTTGATATTTTTGACAAAAAAATGTCCACTATAAGATCAATTAAATACAGGGAAAGCTTGAAACAACCAGAAAATCGCGAAAAGTATGAACAATATCTACTGAGAAGAAAAAAGAACAACCAGAATTACATCAATAAGCAACTAATGAACAAAAAGACAGCAAAAGTATTCATAAGGAAGCAGCAGCAACGAACAAAGAAATGTAGAGACAGAAAAAAATCGAAAAATTCTAAAGGACCAATAGAATCGGCATTTCCATCCCAATTTTGAATTTTTCAAAACTATTGATAAGACGCTTTCTGTTGTACTATTACAAAAAATACTGTCAAATTTTTGATTTTTCTCTTAATTAAGCAATATAATGTGAATTTAAATATGGAGAATGATTAAATTTGATAAAATGCACAGGATATTAAGATTGAATAGACGTCTAGATGTTCAGAAAGTATAAAAATTCGGCTCACAAAATAAAAATTCCACTTTTTGTAATAGTACAACGCTCAGAAAAAGTCGAATATTTCATTAATTTAAGCATTTAGAAGGACGCAAAACAACCATAACGGAAGAATTTACTGTTTTACATAAGTTTATTTAGTCATTGAAACGTCTTTATTGCTGAATATTGAGAAAAATTGATTTAAAGACGATTTTTTTGAAAAAATCAATCCGTGGAATTGCCCAATTGAGAATGATGGACTGTTATAATTTTAGGAAAGTTGTGTCCATACAGAAGAAAAAAATGTTTCAATTATAAAAAATTTGTTTGGTCTGAGAATCGAACCTAAGATCTCCTGAATGCTAGCCTACTACTCTAACCCCTAGGCCACCTACGGATGTGTCGACGTGTTGCAATTCCTCTATATAAATACTTCTCCGTGCAGTTTAACATAAGAAAAAAAAATTATGGATTATCCTTGGTTTGAAAAAGTGGATAATCCATCTTAGCGAAACAGACCGATAGTGTTTCAGATGACTTTAGTTAAAACTGAACGACTCTAGCTGACCCTAGTTTTTTTTTTTAAAAAATGTCGGTTATCAGGGCACAGATCTTGATCCTTCATAAATATAACTGATGAGGATTCTTTGTCAAATGTAAAGATGGAAATGTAGTTTTGAAGATAAGGAAGCACCCCTTGTCACAAATTTTTCTAAACTATGGGATTTGAGTTACGAAAACTAATGAATAGAAAATTTTATTTCTTTTTGTAATGGACATTTTTCATACAAATAGTAAATAATTCGATTTGATTTGAACAGGATTTTATCTGGAGCAAAACACCTATTCAAATCGAGGACCCCCAGAATAAAAGTTTAGTTTTTTAATTTTTACATAATAAATGAATTCAATCTACCTGTTAATTTACTCCATCTATTGTCCATCCATTATTACTGTTTGTCCAAAGAAATTCTATCTCTTGACTTATATTTCGAAAAACTTTCCATATCGTATCGTGTCGATTAAAGTCACTTATTAAATCAGTTTACCATACCTTTAATTCCTCTGCGATCAAGTAGAGCTGCAGTTGAAACAGACGAAGAAGTGACTAGATATTGACTCTAAGTCTAAAATGTAAATCTGTCAAGACACAAGAGCTCAAAAAAACCTTTGACAATTTTGACACAATTCAGCTGAGAATAAAAAGCTCCAAAAGCTCTTGACCTTTTAAACGAAAGCATTTATTCCAAAGAAAAAGATTTTAATCATCAAAGAAGAACAAAAAATCCAGTCGCAGTCATAACTTTGTAAAATGTCACGTTCATCAAAAAAAAAAAGATTTCTTTGAATTTATAAATATTTTACATAAATTTGATATTCAGTGAGAATAATCTATGTCGTGTAAGAAATAACGATGTGAATATATTGTCGTTGCACATGGGACCTTGTTATGACACTTTTCTCTTCTCTTTTGCTTTATTCTGAAGGAATTACGTTGACTTAATGTAAATATTGTCTCTTTTTTATTTGCAATGAAATTATTGAAAATTTTTCTAATTGTTGATTCAAGATCTCAAAAATTTCTCTTAAAGCTTCAATTTATTTACATTTAAATGCATCTACCTCAAACTTTATGAAGGGTAAATGATTTAATTTTTCTCATGAATTTGCGTGCTGAAAATTAAATTTACATATTTATACATTAGCTTTGAACTTCAAAGGAATGTCTTTCTGCGTATTTTTACCAAAGAATGCTTCTTCATTCCTTAACACAATGAACATTCCGTTGACATTATTTTTAACATTGAGGCAAACAAAAATCGATAATGCTGAGAAATAAATTTAAAAATTTTCTTGCATTTGGAATTTTTCTTTTCTTTTCGCTTTAAGAAAGTTTAGAAAGAAAGAAAAATGTGGAAAGAAAAGATTATTGAAAGAAAACAAGATGAGAGAAAAATATGTTTAAAAGGTCATAAGTACCTAACTTCCAGGTGATTTTAGAGTGCATCGGAAATGGTTTGAATTCATTCAGGCTGGTTGGCTGGTTCACTGAGATCTCTGTGATGGAAGCATATAAAGACTTCCTGTTTTTTGCTTTCAATAGCTGCTATTTTGTGTGTAAATTGAATTTATTTTTTATTTTTTAAAACTATCGGAGCTTAATTAAATTATCTCTTCTATTTTATAATGGCTTGACTGACTTTTGCATAACATATTACATTGATACAACAATTTTAAATTTTAAAAGGCCGTTATAAACTTGAATCTATAATGATGCCAAAAACTAGGTTGACATAGCTAGAAAAAGGTTAATTAGCAGTCTGGTAACAAAGCAAGACAATTACCATCCCAACAGTGTTATAGGTGTACATTAACAATAGAGAACGTTGCACAGTATAGGACCTTTCAAAACAAGATTAAGGATAGGAGCTATACTTTTTTTATGACTCACATATTTGAAGGCCCGGTAAACTCCGGCAAACACTCATGTTGGTTCAAATCTTCATTTTGGGATCAGTAGCTCTAAACCAGGGTTGCAATACAGGCATGTGTGCACACGAGAAAACCGTACAATTCCTTGAGAATTTATAAGATTTTTGTAACAAAATCATAAAAATTCTAATAAAACCTCACAAATTATCAAGGAATTGTACGGTTCTCACCTGTGCACAGGTGCCTGTATCGCAATCCTGCTCTGAACTGTTGATTCTTCACTGTATGCTGGTTAATCCAATTTTATCAAAAATTTGCAAAGTCCTTATATTCTATTAACTTCGCATGCTGGTATTAAATAAGAAGCAAAATCATCAGTTCAACTTAATACAAACATCACTTCTATTGCACAAAAGTATTGTTTATTTCTCAAACATGATGTCTACAACCACATCACTTTCCTCTCCTCAAAACCATCAATTCACGTTTTCTTTATCACACGACGACTTTATTTTTTATTATATGTTAATGTCTCAATTTGTACCTCATTTATTGCCATGCCAAGATGTTTCATTGTTTAATATTTATTCTAATAATCATTTCATCTTCATTATTTTGACTCACATAAGATTCATAAATCACAAATCAACGTGGAAGTTACTCAACAAAAAATAAAGAAAGGAACTTTATAAAAGAAAAGAGAAGAAAAGAAGAAAAACTTTTTTTTATTTTCGGAAAATTTAAAAATAAATTTTCACTCTGTTTTCTTCTCTCTTGTCATCATTTTGTGTAAATGTTTTTTTTCTCAACTTCTTCTTGTTCGCTCACTTTTTTTTATAGTGCATCTTAAGAAGAGTAAAAATATTTCAAAATTTTCAGTTATTTCGCGTGTGCAAGAAGAAAAGAAAGGCAAGGCAAAAAACGAAGAGTTTTGATGCTTTTGTTTATGTACATTTTTATGTTATTTTTTTTCTGGGAAATTCGAAAGCAACCGCTGAAAGGAGAAACAATAACAGCAACAAATGGGGTTGTTTGTGAATGATGTAACCTGGGGCGTAACTAGAATATTTGTTAGGAGGGGGAGGTTAATAGGCTTCAATAATAAAAAATCTATCAATAATCTGTAGAAAAATAAAGAAAAGGGACGAAGAAGCACCTCCTAGTGAATATACTGACGTCAGGGGTTCCGGACCCTTCTTGACTACCTCATCACTACATTTTTGTTGTGAAGTTTTGTGTGATTTTTCGTTTATTGATAAAATTTAAGAGTTTAGAGCAGTTATGGTCAAACTTTCTGCCTTGACACACTGGTATTCTCACCACAAAGTGAGCCCTGGCACAAAAAAAGTTTCCCACCACTGGGTTAAAAGTATTAACGGTTATAGCCAATTAAAC